ACGACGCGAGTGAGCCACTCCAGGATGATTGAATGAGTGAATGAATTCAAAGGCTATCCTCCCTGGTTCTCGTACGACCAAAGCTCATATCCTGCTTGTAGACTCGATTGGTCAAAGATATACCATGAATTATCCAAGTTCCGGATCTCTTGCTCGAACACCTCGGCGTCTCCAGAAGCGGGCGTATGAAGGCCCTGAAGTTTCTGTTCCAGTCGTGTCGCTAAAATGCCTCGCAAGCTGGGCTTCGGCTCGTGCATTTCCTTCAGCTTTTGGAGATGAACTCCAACGTTCTCAAGATCTAAAAAGTATCATCAGATAAGTTATGGACCCTTACATCAGTCATGAAGTGGGCATCGACTTACCGTCTGGTTCTCCTACTCCACCGTCTACACCTTGAAGTACGATGAGAGCAGCCCAGGTGATCATGACGAGATCCCAATTCGACCATATCGAAGCATCTAGAATCTGAAGCTTGACAGCCGCTCTTGCTGACACAAGCAGCTCATGCTGCTCTTTCGGCGTCGTGTTCGAAAACAGGTTGCATCCTCGGGCAGGGTGGTAGATGGATAGCACGAGAAGCCTGTGCAGGATATACTGCCGGAATACCAGCTTCTTCTCGTGCTCCGACTCAAAGTCCTTGTCGCTGAACTCAACGAGCCAGTCGTCTAGCTGCCTTGCCCAGTCGCGAATGACAGCGCCGTCGACGCCGCTAAATTGGACGGAAGATATCTGTAATACGCTAGGTTCGCTCTCGAAACAGGACCATATCGTTGGCAGACCTCTGCCTGTGAAGTGAGTTAGGCCGGTGTGCATCATCCTCGAGAGCCGATAGAGTTGGTCCTGTATTGGGATCTTGAGTCGTGGGAGAGGCGCCTCGATTGGTATGACTGGGCATGAGAGATGTATTGAGGCGTGCTCGAGGTCGACGATCTACTTGATATTAGAAAGATGCAGAAATCCGCTGGGAAAAGCTGTCCATTTTACCTGAAGGCCAGAAAACAGGCGTTGCCACTCGCGGGATCGCTCATCGGTGTTGGAGGGGCAGTGCTCGAGGATGAGCCTGTAAGCGAGAGATATCCAGACCCCCGTCTCTTTAACGACGGCTTCTCGTAGCAGTCCGGCGAGTATGATTCCCAGAACGGTTTGAAAGGCCCATTCTTCAGCTGAAGCTGGGTCATCCGGGGCTTGACCGACTTCGCTCTGTGGTATGCACAGCTGTGAAATGGCACTGCACAAGACATTGAAGTAGTCTGGCGCCAAAAATGCGACTTCTGGCAAGCCTCGTATACTTGAGCAGTATAACATTGAAGCTAGCATGAGTGGTCTCGGCGATGAGAAGGTTTGCTTGGTTGGGAGGAAGTGGAGCCCTGGCATGGACTCGTGGAAGCTGGAGGAGTATCAGATGTTTTGGTGCAACTACGAGGTATGGTGTCGAGAATCTGGGGCGAACGTACGATAACCATAGTCTTTTGATCAGGGATTTCTCCCAAATATTTGAGCTTGCGTTTGATGAACATGTCCTTCGCAAGACGGATACAGCGCTCCATAGAGCACCAAGCGATGTCTCCCCTGGTGTGTCGGGTTCGAATGTTGGTACATCTGGGGACGCGGGCGAGTCTGCATCTTCCAAGTTGGTGAGGACTGGCAGACCCAAGTGATCTTCAAGTCGCTTCAACCGAAGAAACACGGATTTATTCAGTGCTGGGGCATGCTCATTTGCCTGAATCAACGAAGCCAGCGAGAGACTTTCACGATGAGACGCGGACTAGACGATTCGTCAGACACGTCCTGGGAGGGTTACAAACACAGAATGAGACGCTGGGATAATTGCCTACATTGGCTCTGGGCACGAACACGCACGGCACTCCCGCACGGAGGCATCTTCGACATGTGGCCCCATTCTCAATTCTACATTTCATCTGTGGTCACGAAAAGGTCGGTTAGACTATTCGCCTTCACCAGAGGGCCAGCTCCAAGGCCGACATACCTTTTGCCTTCTACAATTGACTTGAAGTGGGCACACCCGTCAGCGTCTACAGTCGCATGCAATGAGACGAAGTCCACCATCTGCTTACCGCATGCCTTCCGGGCCTTGCTCGGGCCCGACTCATCCGGCCCATCGGCCGACGCTTTGTCCCTCATCTGGTGAGCAGACATTATGAAAGCGGTATGTTTGTGCACTGATACTTCGATTGCGTTGTTCGAGTCCCACTGTATCAATTGCGACAATTGCGAGAAACACCGGTGTCCATTGGCCTTGTTTTCGGCCAGGTTCGACTCAACTGTTGCTTGCTTCGGCGGGTACCCGGTGAAACAGGTGGGATCGGGGTAGAGTTAAGATTCACCGGTCGCACCGGGGAACCGGTCTTTTTGAAGATTTGGGTGACGAGTGCTAACGCGGGGTCCTGGACCCGGTCCTTGATAGGCCGGGGGTTTGTTATTGGAGGGATTTCTGGCTAATTTCAATCGGTCCACCGAGCCAACCCGGTCCGGATTCACCGGGGCATCGATGGTTGTGGTAGACTGCGCCAGCTGTGAGTGTTCTTAGTTCTTACAGTACATGCCGAAGAGGTGACCTTCCTTTTCTTTCCGAACGGTTGTATCCTAGCTGCAGGAGTTGGTTCAAGTTCCGGTGCCAAAGTCGTTCTTTTTGCCGCGGGGGTTTGGATACTTGATCGGTTGCCAACCTGCTGATAGGCGCTGGCACCCATGAACCTAGCTTTCCCACCAACAACAGCCCACGACTAACATTGTGTGTCGGAAGAGTGGTGTGTTTCAATGTCTTCAACTGATTTTGAGCATGACAGGGCGTCTGAGTTGATAGCTCAGACCCGAAAATTCGTACATGACTTCGATTTCCCACCGGAGGATGTTCGTCGCGCCACAACTCATTTTTTGAAGCAGCTAAGTGAGTTTAATCAACTCTGGGTTGTCGCGCAGCGTACTGACATCACTGAAAGATGAAGGACTTCAAGAAGATGGCACTTCAATGTGCCAGATTCCTTCATTTGTAACCAAACTTCCCAATGGTTCCGAAAAGGGCGTCTGCTTGGCCATTGATCTTGGCGGTACCAACTTGAGGGTATGCTCTGTCGAATTACACGGAGACTCCACCTACTCCTTGACTCAGTCCAAAGCCGTCATTCCCAGACACTTGATGGCTGCGCCAACATACAAGGATCTCTTTAGATTCATCGCCCTGCAGATGAAGGAGTTTCTGGAGACGCATCACCCGGAAGACCTCACAACATGGTCTCAACTCCTGAAAGAGGGAGATGCAATCACCGAAGAAATAAGACAGAAGCACTGCAAGAGCCTTGGCTTCACTTTCAGTTTCACTTTCGATCAGCATGCTATCAATGAGGGAACACTACTGTACTGGACAAAGTCATTCGGTATCGATGATGCAGTCGGCCGTGACCCATGTGCCATGCTGCAGGAGGCTCTCGATGAGCAACACTTGCCTCTCCTGGTCACAGCACTGGCTAATGACACCGTTGGCACTTTGGCTACACGAGCATACACATCTCCGGGACGTTCCAGTAATGTGGTAGGCGCCATCTTCGGAACCGGCACCAACGGAGCCTACATGGAGCGCGTTTCTCGCATCACCAAGCTGCACTCACGTGTAGAGTTCTCAACTTCGGCATCGGACGCAATGATGGCGCTGAATACCGAATGGGGAGGATTTGACAACAAGTTAGAAGTACTGCCTTCAACACGATTCGACCGAGACTTGGACAGAGATTCTGTCAACCCAGACGATCAGCATTTCGAGAAGCGCATATCCGGCATGTATCTTGGTGAACTACTTCGGCGCATACTAATCGACCTGTCACAACCTGGACAGAGCCTATTTGGCTTTCAAGTCTCGGGAGACTCCCCGCTTTACACGCCGGACGGCATTGATAGCTCTTTGCTGTCAGCAGTTGTCAAGGACTCAGGCCCAGCGCTTGAGAGCGCGCGTGAAGAGATTTCACGAGTACTCAACGCCACAGGTGTATCGACGGACGATGCAAAGGCTATACAGATTCTTTCCGCGGCCATTGGGCGTAGGTCAGCCAGGCTATCTTCTGTCGCAATCGCTGGTGTTGCTCTCCAATCTGGGTTGTTTACGCCCAGAAGCGTCAGCAAGCCAGCAGCGACGATATCACGAGGTCTCGGAACCAACCTTCTCAGACCTTTTCTCTATGGGGCACGGAGCCTGTGGAACCTGCTTACGAGTTGGCTTCATGTAAAAGTTCGATTCACGATTTTATCGAAGGGCACATCGGGCAACTTCTCTAGACCCGGGGACGGGGATAGCTCTCAGGCGGACAATGATGGCGAGGACTCGAACGAAATCATCGATGTTGGGGTTGACGGTTCTTTGATCGAACATTTCCCTAACTTTGAAGAGAATCTGAGGGAAGCTTTGAGAGAAATTCCAGAGATTGGTGTCATGGGTGATAAGAGAATCAGGATCGGCATGGCGAGAGATGGTAGCGGAGTTGGGGCTGCTTTGATTGCATGGGCGGCGAGGGCATAATATCTGAGGTAACTCAATCAATGGGCGTTTGAGGTTCTGAAACATTAGAATAAAGTGATGTACCATCATTACTAACTGACTAAATCATGGGGATATGATGCGGTCCGGTTCTAAGGCAAAGGAATGGTCTGTGGCTTTAGCTTTTCGGGCGTGTTGTGATGCTGATTTCGCAAGGATACTCGAATCTTCGTTCACTGTAAGCCGCCAATATTATTCGAATACGGATGAATCAAAGTAGGCCCTCGAAAATCGGCTCATTCACGAATTTGATTTCTCTATACAGGCTCTTAAGCGAAGATTCTTCACTCTGCAGCATAGGATGCGATAGCATCCCTGATAGAAAGTTCGAACCCTACAAGACAAAGGTCAAGTCGAGCAAGTCACTGAAACTGCTGCTAGAAAGAAAATCTACTTTCTTCCACTTCGCAACAAAAGGCTTCGCGCTTTGCATTTGAGATACTGGTTCGACCTAATGTTCATGGCCGGCAGAGGTTATGCACACATGGCCATGACTGACCCGTCCCCAATCAAAGCCAAAGGAAATCCGAACACCTCACCTGAGAATGCCGACTACAGCTACGCAACCCCATTATCCTCAAGCGGTTCTGACTTTCCTTGCAAGGGCTACTTGAGCCTTCTAGGTACCTCACAGACGGCGCCCGTCGACAATTGGACTGCCGGCAATAGCTACTCTGTTACGATTTCTGGTCATGCTGTGCACGCAGGAGGATCATGCCAAATCAGCCTCTCACTAGACGGCGGCAATTCATTCAAGGTTCTCCGCAGCATCATCGGCGGCTGCCCAAGGGGCAATGCAACCCAACTGGGATTCAGATTGCCAGACGATACGCCGTCTTCTGACCATGCGGTGCTCGGCTGGACGTGGTTCAACAAACTTGGAAATCGGGAGATGTACATGAACTACGACATCATCAGCATCGTAGGCGGAGGTGGACATGACCATGGTGAGAGTTTCAACAAAAGACCGGAGATGTTCAAAGCGAACGTGGGTAATGGATGCAGGACGGTGGATTCGAGAGACGTCATGATTCCGAATCCGGGGCCGGATGTGGAAGTCAACAATCTCGATGCTGTGCCGCCGATTGGTGAGTGCGAATCCGGGCCGGGAGCGACAGTGGGGTCCGATTCGGGGCTAGGATCGGGGAACGGGGGCAATGGAGGCAGCGGTGGTAGTGGTAGGGGAGGAATCTACAAGCCCGGCAATGACTGGACTGCAGACTTCAACCCGAATTGCGGCAAACTTGTGGCCGATGAATAGGTACCTGACCTGATTTGCACACGCTTTGTAGTCATTTGAATATGTTTATATTGGGACATTTGGACGATTGGCTTTCTTACAGGCCTGGTCTTGCTAAGACGTTAATTTACCTTCGCGTCGGCACTGCTACTAATTAGTTGAAGAAACAAGTGAAGGAAGGAGATTTTGGCACCAAAAGATTGCGGCTTAATCATCGATCCGCCCAAAGCAACAAGATGCATGTATCTCATTGCTGTCGGGAACTAAAAGGGAAAATGGCAAAAGAATGAGGTCGTACCCGGGTTCGAACCGGGGTTGCCGGAAAGGTTCGATTTTGATGTTATCAAAATCCGGAGTGATAACCACTACACTATACAACCCTTGATGGAGGACCTGGGTACCTTCTGCGGCTTGTGTAGGGTGTGTGTGGAGCGGCCGCGCGAAAGAAATGCGCCCCGCTGGGTGTGGCGGTGGTGGCTGATGGAGAGAGGATCGTTCCCAGGGGCACCTGACCAATGGACGTTGGCATAGCTTCAATGATGACTCATCACAATTTCCACATGCGCCACAACCCAGCACCCTCAATGTTCCCCTTCTCTCCTGACTGATGATCTGCTGGCTATTCTATTCGCCCCATCGACTCAGTTTTCCCCTACGACGGCGTGGAGATCTTGACCGACTGGTGATGTTAATGATGTGTTTCAGATCCCTGGCGACTCTCCATGCGAGAAATAACGATTTACGAATGACGCCTTGAGCTTGACCGGATACGTGAGCAAATCCGACAAGGCAATCTCGGGGCGTTTAACATGAACTCCGGTAGATGCCCCGCCGCTACAAGTTTCTGTGGGGAACATCAATAACAGTCCGACGGTATGCCCTTCTACATGGCATGTAATCGCGATATGTGAAGATGATGGCTCGAGGGATATCAAACCTTACGGATCACAAGATGTGTGCAGTAACGTTGGTTCCCCGCAAGATACTTGTGAATGCAACCCCCCGCATTTTACCCCAGATGTTGTTGAACTTCTGGCGCGTGGTGACTTTCTGGGGATCTCCGAAGCCGTGAACTCTCGCCATTGCACTCCCGGCCCGCAACCTCCCCCGGCGCCGGTTGTGATTGAGTCAAAGGTGTACCCCGTGAACACTATGAAATACCCAAAAAGATCTCAGCCAAAAGTGTCATGACGAGACGGAGCTTCCAATTCCACGACTCAGCATCGATCTACTCCAAAGACCCGCTTACTGAATCTGTGTCTCACCAGTTGCAACATGATGAGGGTAGGTCCCGCTCAGGATTCTCGAAATGGTAATGTGCTCATGACTCCTAGGTCTTCTCATCACTGTCAGCTCTGTCATGGGTCGCTATATTCGCACAGCCATGCCTTGCCACGGTAGCCGACATTCCTGGTGTGTTTGGGTCAGTGCCACTTGTATCCGCGTCTCCCGTGGGTGATATCTCATCATACCTCAAGAGCCGGCCAAGTGACTTTGTTCATCCGGGTATCTGGCACACGCACGAGGATCTAGAGCGCATCCGCAATGGGATACTCGAAGACAAAGATCCTTGGGCGTCAACCTATGCCGTTTTCAGCAAGGACAGCTACAGCTTGTCAACCTATGAGATGAAGGGACCAAAGCCGGTCATCTCGCGTGGCAGCGTCAGCAACTACACGTCCTTCGCCTCCGACGCCCGAGCCGCATGGCAGAATGCCCTGATGTGGTACATCACCAAAGATGACGCCCACTGGAACCGCAGCACGACCATTTTAGATAGCTGGGGGTCTACGTTAGTCGACATTATCGGCACGGACCGGTCCCTCCTCATTGGCTTGGATGGCGATCTCTTCGTAAATGCCGCGGAGATCATGCGCTGGGAGGGGAACTGGACCGAGTCTGGAGCACGCTGGCAAGGCGGGTCTGGCTTCAGCATCCAGCTCTACTGGCTATTCTCACGACAGTCTATCCCGATTGGCCAGGCAAACTACGGAATGGCTAGTATTAAGGCGCTCCTGAGCTTTGCTGTCTACCTCGACGATGTTACTCTCTACAATTATGCCATCAATGAGTATTTGAACAATCCCTGTGCGGGGCTCTACTCCTTCTTCGACCCCGAGACGGGCCAAAGCTCGGAGTCCGGCCGTGACCAGAGTAAGTCACCCTCTATTCTTCGACGACAAATATGACTGATGATCGTCAAAGGCCATGCAATGTCCGGCTTAGGTTGGATCGCTCAGGCTGCGCGGGTAGCCCAGAGTCAAGGTTCCGACCTCTACAGTCAAGGCGACAACCTGCTTCTGAAAGGTGCAGAGTATACGGCCAAGTTCAACCTGAATGAGACCGTTTCGTATGATCCAAAGTGGTATAGGTGCGAAGCAGTTCTTGTCAATGGGCCTTGGGCAATCATCTCCCAGGACAAGCGAGGTGTGACGGCTACAAATCCAATGTGGGATATTCTGTACTACCAGTATGTTGTAAAAAGACAGCTCGAAGCGCCTTGGATCACAAAAGCTAAGCAAGCTGTCGGAGCTGAGAGCCGTTTGACGAGTAATGATCATCCTAGCTGGGGTGGGTTGATATGGGCTTATTGACCTATCTAGGATATGTCGCATGTTGGAATATACATACTCAACGTAGCAATCAAAGCAAGATAGATACAGCATAGTCAACGTTGATGAGATCGTTGCCTTGACAAGGAAGATTCATTCTTCAGAACCATGTATTTTGGCAAGGTTGTCGTAGGCCTTGTGCGGACACGCGTCTTCCATAGAATGGAGCCAGACAGCCAAAAGTGGCAAAATGTAGAACGAAGGTAGAGGAACACATCTTATGGTATATATGGGAGTGACAATAGAATATAGACAAGAATTATATGCCGTTGGAAGGACAGTATGAGCAATCGAAGAGACAATGGAATGGGAACTAATGAAGGTGGCTACCAAGGTGGCAGAAAAACGTGAGGGATGCAGATCAGTGCCAAGACGAAGTTCCCAGAAAGAGAGCAACTGGCTCCGATCCTACTCCAATCTGTAAAGAAGGGTACCAAATCCTAGCTGGTCGTAACCGCCGCTGGTTGTGCCGTAGTCGCCGCCACCTCCCTCGGCACCACCGGCTTCTTCAACCACGTGGTCGCGCATTTGCTCGGTCCAAGAAGCATTGAGCCCCTTGATGACACCGTAGTGATTGTAGAGCAGCTCCCAGATGGGTCGAAGTCCGCCACGTCCAGATTCGCTGATATTCACAGCCGTGCCGTGACTGTTGGTAAAGTTGGTAAAGGGGACATTAAATCCGAGGTTGTACTTGGCGGCGTACTCCGACCTTGGTCTCGTGTTAGTATTCATCTCATGTTACTGTGGTAGACCTTACTTACCCTGCCAAAATTCTGTTGTCGAGGTACGAAAACAAGTCATCACCCTGGTTGTAAGACTGTTGCGCAAAAACGCCCAAGAAAGCAAAGTCCAGCAGAGCATGCCCTTGGTCACGACCAGCCTCTTGGCCTTGACCAAGGACCTTGCCAGACCCTTCCTCTTCATGCAATTCCCAGATAGCAATCTTGATGGCACCATTGCCAGCACCGTTTTTAAAGTAGTCGACTGCCTCATTGTACATAGTCTTGTTGTCTGACAAGATTCCGATAGCCTGCATGGTGCACATATTGGCCAAGTCCCAGTTGGCCCAGTAATGGTCGATGGATGCGCCATTGTGGTTGATAAGGAAGTTGTGGTTCATGGGGTAGAAGACTCTCTGCAACATCTCGGTCATCGCAGACAAGCCGTCCCATCCCTCCCACCCACGCAAGATCTCGGCTGCGTTGGCGAGCTGGAAGCCATAGATACCGGAAGCCAGGAACTTGTCGGAAGAGCCATTGATGTAGATGAGCGAGTCACTCCAAGCATCAAGAATGCGAGCCGACGCGTTGGCGTGTGCCTCGTCGCCGGTGATCTTCCATACAATGGCATTGGTGTAGGCGGCGTGGGCGTCGCGGTAGAGAGACGGATAGTTTTCGGGGTTACATTCGCGACCTGCGCCGCCACGGCACACCGTTTCCTTGGGATTGGGGGTGTAAGCAGAGTTTGCGCGTGTCTTGAGTTTGCTCCAGCCGATCGTCCATGGCTCCTTCTGGGCGTTGACGAGGCCGGTGATGCGGTCAAAGTCTTTGGCAGTGTGAAGTAGGCCAGGGTGTTTAAAGGTTGATCGGGAAGAATTGGAGCAGAAGGCGTTTGCCTCTGGAGCCCATAAAGAAGCCCCCAAAAGGATGACGAGATGACTAGAAATGGAAGTGAATTTCATGTTGTCGATAATTGGGGCCTGAGACCAGCCCAAACTCTTTCGTGAACAAGAATCCAAAGAACTGAAGGTGCGATGGCCAAGATAATCCTAGAAACCCAAGTGATGGCTACATAAACCATTGGGTTATATAACCTAGCTCCTCTATCACGAATCAGAATGGACCCATTCTCGGGACTTGTTTCGATATCTGATATAAATTTACTGCCCATTTCTAGCGCCCGGGACTTATCCCGACCGTAGTGGCAGTATGTACTTTACTAAGGTAAAAGAATTGGGGTGGGATAAAGAACACATCAAGTTTTTGTCGGCCCCTTTCCAGGTAGGGCCCGACTGATCCTTGCATGCCGAGAACGAGATTTAAGGGGTGTGTCAGCTGAGACCCAAGGTCTATTGTGTGGAGTTGAACAGAGTGCCGAGCAGCCTAGTTGCAGATCCATGTGGCTGTCAACGCCATTGACGACCGGGGTCGCACGCCGGAAGCTACCCCGGACAAAATATCCACCGTATAACAGACACCAAAAAGACAACTGCGACAGTGTACATGAACATTCAATCGAGTAGATGCGTTGTGTTAGATGACTCACTCCACCCGCTAGAACTCTCAAGAATGCATGAAAATTATACAAGATATTATAGCGCTAAGCCTAAATTAGCAGCTTTACCAGATGAAAGAGTTCATCACGATTGGGGTCTTAGTTACGGGATTTGGAAAAGCTTAACCCATCAAGAGCTTGTCTTGAGAATGTGGCAATGCAAAGCATCTTAGACAGCTGGTGTTCATAAGTGTTATGAGAAAACGCGCGTGTTTAATTGAGTCTACCTGATAGTGGTATGATGAATCGAAGATAACTCAGGAAATCATGAGGAAATATCTAGTACTGGTACAAGCCAGACCCAAGAAGAGCAGAAGGTGCCAAATGAGCCGCCGCCGAGTTCAATGTTCCGAACTTTTCCAAGACTGCCGAAAGAGTGTTGTGAGCCGGCTGGAGGCCACCGTCTACCCATCCACCAAGGAATGAAGTGCAGTCACTGTTGATCAGGACCCGCGAAGTCTGGGTCTGGTTGATTCTCTCCCAATCATAGAAGAGAGACTCAATGCTAACATCCTGGCCCGGGAATCCCAGAGAGAAGGCACCGTACGAGTAGCGGTCAAGAGGCCAGTGAATAAGGTAAATATCGTCATCAGTGACGGGCTCAAGGAGGCTGGCATACTCAGGGAAGTCAGACTCTTGCATGATTCTGTCAATCTGGGTCTTGAGTTCAGTGAGAAGCTCCTTGGGATCCGAGATAGCCGTCATCTGCAGAGAAAGGTCCTCCCAGGCGTAGGTGACGAGGACCATGCCGTAGTCGGGGTGTCCATAGTCCAAAGTGTAGGTCTGCGGCAGGTTCGTGTCCGAAAGAATGACACGAGGGAAACCAGCCCCCTGAGTTTCCCAGAACTTCTTGGTGCGGATGAACAGCTTGGATGAGGCGGTCATGTGGAGATCATTAATGGCTCTCTGAACTTCCAAAGGCATGATCGGGTCCTCAGTGGTCTCCGAGACCGGAGTAAAGGCGTAGTTCATGGCGCGGTTGCTAGTTCCAACAACGACAAGGTCGTACTCGACGTTGGTGGAAACACCTCCAGAAGTCTCTCTCACACCAACGGCAAGGCCTCCGAGAGCATCGCCGCCGCCGCTGGTAACCTCGGCGACAGTCGAAAATTTGGTCTTGACACCGAGCTCAGTCGCCTTGTCCCAGATTGTCTGGGCAAGATCACGGATGCCGGCAGGCTGCAGACCGGAGTCGGTGACCTTGGCAAAGACAGCTTGGTCCGACTCGAGGCCGTTGACAACCAGGCGGAAAACGGAGTTGAAGCCCGCAGAGTAGACAGCGCCAAAGCCGCCAGAGCCGATTCCAAGAGTGCCGAAGCGCTGGAAGTCATCTTCGGTCCAGACTTCACCCCCCGGAACGTCCCACTCGTGGCCCTCGCCGAAAATGCGACGGAGTCCAGTGTAGAAGCTGTCGTCGCCGAAGGTGTCCAAGTACTTTTGCCACTCAGGAACAGCAAGGTTACGAGTGGCAGTGTCATTGGAACTGAGCCAGGTCGTAATCTGACTGCCAGCGGCCAAGGTGCTGCTGCCGCCGGTCAAGCCCTTTGAGATAAGCTGAACCCAGCCATTGTTGACCTTCTCAAAGCCGGTGGGAGCAGTGTTAGAGTCGGTCCAAGAAGTAGCCTTTTCCTGGTAGTAGACGATGGTAGGGACCTTGCCGGGGTCGGGAAAGTTCTGAATGAAAGTGTAGTTGAACTCATTGGCGTAGTAGTAAAGAAGGTCTTCCGAGGGAGGGAAGCGCATAGCGCCCATCTCCGCCACGTTGACGCCGTCAGCCGTGGGAAGGGACCGAAGTCGGCCTCCGACGCTGTCAGTCGCCTCAATCAGAGTGACATTTGCGCCGGCCTTGGCCAGGTTGAAGGCCAGAACCACATTGGTGATTCCGGCTCCGACAAGACCAATCGAGAAGTTGGAGGGTAGGCTGCCAAGAGGCTGGTTGATGTCGCCGGCTGCCTTGTTCCACTCAGAGTAGATGAGCTGAGGCGTGTCAACCCAGGCTTGAGGACGAGCCTTCTGTTCGGCAGCGCTGGATGATTGCCTCTGAGCCAGACGGGAACCAGAAGTGCTGCCAATAGGAGAGAAAGGAGTGCGCTTGTTGGAAGAGGCCTTGGAGGCGTCCTCACTCTTGAAGCTGAAAGAAGGGAGCATTTTGATTGTGGTACGTGAGTTGTTGAGATGCTGAGGGCCTTGTGAATGAGAGTGTTCTGAGTGAGACTGTGAGAGTGATGTCCTTCAAAAAGATAATAGCATCTGGGTGGGAGATGATCTTCTACTTATACATCGTGACAATCATACATATAAATATCAAACTCCAGGCTTTTCTGACAAAGACGAGAATGCCGACTGGATTGCCGGCTTAACCGCCGGCAAGTGTCTGTCTCCTTTCCGGCTGGAAGAGATATCGCCGATATGCTTCCTCACCTGCGTGCAGCTTGAGTTGCAATACATTCCACATCGACATGCAATAGGCAAGTTTTGACCCTGCCACCTAGGTTGACCAGTCTTCTCATGAAGAAAACGTGAGATTCTCTGAACAATGTCATTTTTCTGCCCGTCGTGGCTCAATCCTGGGTCGCTCGTGGTTCGAGAGAGAATTTTCGGAATTGGGTTCGCGGCGAGTCATTGCCGTAGAACTATGGAGTTAAGTCAACGTTCATTGAGGGATATATCTATCAACTTCGTAAGTCATCTCGCTTATTGGGACGTCGGATTCGCGAGTCTCCGAAGCGTAGGACGGGTCTACTTGGGGTCTACTTGTTTCCGGTAGTCGAATGGGAAGAAGAGCAGAGATCAAGCAAAGGTCAAGCCATGTGATGATGGTAGGTCAGTGTTCAGTACCAAGGCATTAATAGGCTTCGATAATTAGTACATCTAAACTACGAAGCATCAAGTGACTTAGAATAAAAACCAGTTGTATGACGTTTCCCGACCTGGTAAGACCCAGAGATTAAAGCAGGTTATAAGATAACGGAAAATAGTTTCACGAATCCTAAGCTGGAGCGGCTTGGTAGCTTGTCTCATTGAGCTTCAACCTCTCAGACAAATGCACTGTTTTCACAGCCTCTGTTACAGAGATGACTGTCATCGTTTGCTACCTCGTTGGTCTTCAAGGAATGCTCAGACCAGCTTCGGGGTTGATGAGCGCAGACCACTACCCCATTGACTAAGATGCTTCGTCAGTCCAAGGACACCTGGGGGCCGAGTTGACAATACTTGTGGGCATTTGTGGAAGACTATGAAGTTTGACCCTGACTCTTGACATGGATTGCTACATCTGATCCACTAGGCATATCCTGAACATATGCCAATCCACTAAGTAGATATCGTTCGACATATTCTCAGAAAAGAATTTCGGTCGTCTGACTGCTCGGGGGATGCTGCTTGACATATCAAATTTTGGTATCCTAACCATGCGATGGTCTGAGGGCTGAAGCTGGTGATGAAGCTACGACTTCAAGTAACGAAAGTTTGTTTGGCCTTATGACGACGCCCGATCTCTAGGTCTTCCCCTGACCTCTTTCATCGTTCCCACAAGATTGTGCCAACTCATGATTCATAACTTGTTTCTCACTGTGAGTGAACAGTAGAGTATCATCCCGTAGCGAGTGGGGCATACCCACGCATAGTCTAGGGGCATGGCAATTATAAGGCGGTTGCTTGTTTGCCCATACCCCCCGAGCAACGGACTTGGAGTATTGGATGAGATCCAGATTAGGGAATTACGCCGAGCTGTCAGATAACTATGTCTAGTGGGACCTATATCCGGGAGGAGCCGTTGCGGACCATCGACAAGGGCACCATGTGCGTGCGAAAATAATAACGAGTGGAAGAGCGGGCCCGCCCTCCATCAGTTCCCGACACGCGCGCGGGGTGTTTTAACTATCGCAAGACATCGTGGCAGCGGTTATTGATATTTAGGCTTGAAAGACGGTCAGTAATCGGGAAAATCAAGACCATCTGTGTCATGCTCCTGCATCTTGCAGGCATCTCGGATTCAAGCCGGAGAGCACCCAATGGCCTCCACACTTGAGTTATTAATCGTCAACTTGAATCCCATGCGCTTTCCCCATGTTAACTTCCAAGCCCCTGGTGAACATCCTGCTCTTTGATTCTTGTACCAGCGTCAACGGACTTCAGATGGTTGTAGTTTACATAGAAAGTGAGGAATGCAAGGTTGGGTTATCGTCGCGTATGTGCACGTGAACCTTCGACTGTGGGCAAATGAATGGGCCTGATTCCAGGCCGTTTTAGATTTGATACGACTCATGTTGAGATGACAGCCTCTGAACACCCACCTATCGCGGTTGTCCAGATAGAGTAACCCGAGCAAATGCAGAGGTCGGATATCGGGCCATCAATATCTCTAGAGATCAAGACTCTGACAAAAAGGATGAAGACCGGAAAAAGAGCCGTAAAGGTTATCCTGAGGAGCCTGAGAAGTCATCCTATAGCTCATTTCAAGAGACAAGTATTGTAAGTGAATAGAAAATGCTTTTCGAAATGAGATTTGTTATTACAAAGCTGTCTTCTTTCTTCAATCATATGGACACGTGGTATTCACTGCAAAGATTTCACGAAAGAGTCGCCAGACGTGATTTAATTGGATGGCTGAATGATATTTAATAGATTTATGTGGGATAGGTTTGGTGACCTTGGAAGGATTTACGGGCTTGTATAGTCCGCAGCACAATCCGCAGTAACCATGACCATGGCAGCCACCTCGTGGCCGCTCTGAAGTTCACTAAAAAATCTATGGAGCCATCTATGAGCTACCTATTCTAGACCTAAGAGGCAAACGCCTGCTTTCCTGTTAAGACCGTCTTCAAGATGCCCTTGTCGGCCAAGTCATTGACCAGGTTGAAGAGAACAAAGTCGCAGCCGCGCTTAGCCACGAGATTCACAGTGACAGGCATGAACTCTTCCTGGAAAGTCACATTGCTGAAGTAGGAGACTTGGCCAATGGGAACAGTGTAATCGGCATCGCCAAAGTAAGACGCCACAGTCGACCCAGCTTGAGATGTTGTAGGGTTCACAGGGGTTGTGGAACCAGGGTCGCTATTGAGGTCCTGGGATCGGAACGTAGGAATGCCGCCAGTTCCGACATCATAAACAAAAATTGCCTCAGAACAGGATGTGTCCGTGGAGAACAGGGTCTTATCGTGCCACAGGGCCGCATCGCGGGTCCGGTTCGCCATTGCCGCCTTGTAGACGTTGTCGTCAATGGTCAGGGAGTGGAATGCCCCGCGATACGGCTGGTCAAGGGGCGGAAAAGCCGGAGCATACTTTGCCAGGAGGGGCTGGGCAGTCTCCGTGATCAAGTCGTGTGTCCACAGAACAAGCAAGTCTCCGAGGATTTGCGAGATGGGTCGTCCGGTCACATTCTCGATCGTCTCAGTAAGGTTGACCTGCTCCACAGTGGCGCCAAGAGATGCCGACGCGTCGCTTAGGAACTTTTGAAGAATTGTCTCAGCGGCAGGGTTCTGCAGCGGGAGATGGTCGACCGGGTACAGAATTCGCTTAGGGAACGTACGCTCGTCGGGAACTGAGAGAGCAGGCAAGCCGTTCAACGACGTGTCCTGATGGAGTGAGGGGTCGTACCAAGCCTTCGCGAAGGTAGTCCACTTGACAGGGTCGCGACAGAAGACACCGGCAGTATCGGCATTGAAGGCATTTGTGATGATGTTCTCCATTAGGATCATTCCCTGAGAAGGTCTGTTGCCATATGTGCCCGAAAATGCAGCCGGCTGTCGCACCGAAAGACCAGTATCGGTACCAATGGCAAAGTCAAGCCAGTCGTAAGCAGCGATGGAGCAACCCGCTCCAGAAGAGGAGCCTGAGCAGCTTAGAAAGGTGTCTCCGCGAGGGCTGCGGGGATAGAACGCATCATTCCAGTTCCAGGGGCTCTGAGGGGACGCGAACTGGGCAGTCTTCTGCTTGCCGACGACAACTCCGCCGAGGTCGAGAATTTTCTGGAGAGCAGGTGCCGTCTTATCTGCGACGTCGTTGACGGCAGCGTAGGATCTGCTCCCAGCGGTCGTCTGGACCCCCTCAAGATCGTAAATGTCCTTCACAGCAACGCGCTGACCAGCCAAAGGTCTTGTGTCTTCCGTGCTGTAGAGTCTGGAAGGAACGGGAATCATAGGGTATCCCCAGTCTGCCTCGGACTGGGTGAATGCCTTGTATTCTCCGTTTGACTCGTACGTGCCAGTCACAAAGGTTCTGTACATATCGACGTACATGAGGAGGACCTTGCTGAGGTAGAGACTGTCTCCATCTGTTATGGCAAACAAAGGACAGGGAATAAGCGTGGAGTTGCCGCAAGTGGATGGCCCATCACCAGCACCGTAGATAATGTTGGATCCGAGACCTTCCAGATAGCTGATGACCGAGTCATCGAGGTCTTCGGAGCTGCTGGCACTGACAAGAACATTGCCAAGAAAGCCCTGAACGAAGACATCATCCTTTCCGAAAGAGTCATTGATGACTTGTTTCAGCTCATCTCCGGTGGTTGTGGCGGATAGAGCGGAGATGTATGTGAGTGGTCCCTGAGAGGGGTCCAGGACACAGGAGACGGTGAATATAGGATCCGAAGTCACAGCCAGATACTGAGTGCTCTCAATGAGGAAGGACTGGTCTTGAGTGTTTGACACAAAGGTGGATTGGAAAAGAGTGCCATTTAGGGGCGTAAGCGCTTTTGCTACCTTGAAGTAGAGTGCCATAAGGCAGAACGCGAGGAGAAAAGCAGGGAGCTTCATGATTCTTCTCAATGTCTTGGTTTGATGATCTGAGACTTGATGCTTGGAGGAGCGACTTTGCCATGTCTTTATAACAATACCTGACTACTTGCTGATGACCTCCTCAATTCAATCACTGCGGAGCCTGCTGTGACATCTCATGATCTGCTGCCTATGACACCTTGGAATAGTTCACAACAACAACGAAAATGCCTCACAATTATGAAAGACCAAAAGCCTGGCAATACCAAAGTTGAACAAAGACAGTGTTGTGCGTGTAGCTTGAGCATAAGTTTAGCAAACCCGCACCGAAATCAGTATACCCCGCCTACCAGCCCCTGGATGAGTTGAGGGAATTACATCCATAACGGACTTCTCCGCCATGTCAGGGCTGTTCCACAACAGTCGTTGTGATACCCTGAAGTCTAGGATTCCACTGAGAGAACTCTTGGTCGTACGTTGTTGCCTTTGTGAGCCGCCGACTCGAGGCATCCTAGATGTGGTAGCTCAAGTACTACAAGGCGTGGCTACTTTGGAAGATGACGTGTCGAAGATGAGTATCATGAGTCTCCTACATCTTTCTCAATAAGTCTGATCCAGGGCGGTATGTGCAATGATGCTGGCCGTCTTGGCCAACTCAGATGACTCGCACTGTTGTTTGGACCCTGCATGAAACACCAAGATGAATTGGGCTTCGTGCAGAACGAGCCACGTGGAGTGTCCCCTAGTCCCAGTAGTTAATGGCAATCTTTTTGGTGAACCCTTGAGTTAATCTGTCAAGGTTAATTAAGTACGATGGCAAGCTCGTTCTTGGCCCATAAGTATGTAAAATGACCACATGCATGCGAGAATTATAACGGAGTTGCGCCGAGCTGTCAAGATAACCATGTCTAGTGGAGACTTCGGGAGGGGCCGCCAGGGACCGCTGCAGGTTGGGCGGCTATCATTATGATATATCCACCTTTGACGCTTACGTGAGAAGTTGTAAGAACGCCTTGAACTTTATTGGATAGCGGAAGCTTTTCGATCTGATCAGATTGAACCGCGCAGATGCTCTATTTCCCGGTGCCAAGCGAGGGAGAGCGGGAGACGGCATCTTGCCGGGTGTCACCTACTCAAATACACTTTCTTGCCCGGCCGCGATTACGTGCTCCGTCAAGCGATTCTTGCACGAGGCTGGACAACGACTACAAATGGTACAACTGATAGAGTTTATTCAGGCGGAGAGCGCGCCAAAAAAAAGTCCTTGTATAGAAATTTGCCTTGCCTAAGGTTAGTTGTTCTTGGTGAGAAACTGGTCTCGGTGAGTGTGTTCGGTGAAGTTTGGTCGGAGTGGGGCCGGATCGGCTCAAGATGGCCGGACAGGGTGTTGATACGGACCCGATGCATGTTGCCTGGTCGGAGCATTGCTTCTTCGATGAGCCGCATTTGAGTCCTCCTTGCTTCACAGAAACCCGGGGGATTATATAAGGAATTTCAACGGACTCAGACTGGACTAGCCACATCACTACTTGTACTAATCGCGTCAACACTTCATCGCTAGATGCTTAGCAATCAGGCATCCGTTCTCGGAGGTAGTTTATAACGTTATCACCTAGCGGTACAACACAAGGGTGACCCATTGACCAATCCATCTCTTGACGGCCATGTCGCTGCGAATTGAATCATTCGCAGCTAATTACGAATCAACTGAAACGATTGACTTCCTGGGTGCATGAACTCATCCGCTGCATTGTGGCCCATGCCGAGAGGCGCAATACATCAGAAGTCATCACTATAATTTGTGAGAATACATCAAACGAAATGCTACACCGAGATAAAAAACGGACGGCGACGGACTAAAACCACCTCCCTCGGCAATACGCTACACTAAGGTAGCTGAAATAAGTAATAATGGCACAAAGCAATTTTCCACTGGGGGTCGGTTCCCTATGACAAATGAGCATTTTCGTCGGCCACGAGTTGCGCCGTCTTTAGTCGCTTATCCCACCGGTTTACCGCTAAATATTTTCCGGCTTTGCCTTGTACCCCCGATCTGCACTCTGGACCCGGGGCCGCAGGCGAGACAATCAAGTCTGGAGGCAAGACTAGAAATAAAAAATATTAGGATCGAAGAAGACAACTACAAATAAATAGCACATCATTCATGATCCCAAGATTACGAGACCAAGAGCATTGAAATCAAACCAGGTAATCAACATGGCATCCAAAACTGTTTTTATCACTGGTGCAAACGGCTACATTGGCAATGCCGTAGCCCGCTGCTTTGTGGCCGCTGGATGGAACACCTACGGCCTTGTCAGGTCTTTTTCGGCGGCAACAACTCTAGCTCAGGAGGAGATCGTTCCTATCATCGGAGCCATTGATGACCTCGACGCGCACGCCAACATCCAAAGCCATCTTCCAGCAAAGCTCGATGCTATTGTCTCAACCACGGAGAACATGATAGACTACATCCCGCACTATCAGAACACCATCAAGTTGCTCCGTACCCTCGGAGCCGCAAGTTTGTTGGCCGGCACAAAGTCAATTGTCATCTTCACTTCTGGATGCAAGGACTACGGCATCGGTCCGCACTTCGCCGGAGCCCCGGACCTGGCCCCACACACGGAGGAGTCACCGATCGGGACAGTTCCCATGCTCACCAACCGAGCCACGCACGCACAGAAAATCGTTGAACACAGCGACGTTTTCACTCCGGTTCTCGTTCGACCTACAAACGTCTACGGACGTGCCTCTAGCTACTACCAAGCCTTCTTCAATGTCGCTTCCAAGGCCGCCGCCGAGGGGAAGCCACTCATCTTGACCGCTCCGCCCACCACAATCCTGCATGCTCTCCATGTCGACGACTGCGGAGACGCCTATGTTGCCATCGCCTCTCACTCAAACGTAGCCGAGGTTGACGGCCAAGCGTTCAACATCTCGGCCCAGAGCTACGAGACGCTTGACAAGGTTGCGCAAGCACTGGTTAAGGAGTACCAAATCAAGATTGGACTTAGATACATTGACGAGGCGGATGCGAAAGAAGGGGAGACGTGGCCGCCGGGCATCATCAACTTTCCCCAGTGGACAGACTCCACAAAGTTGACTAAGCTGACTGGGTGGAAGCATCGTCGCCCCTTGTTCACCGAGTCTATCCACGTCTATCGCCTAGCATACGAGGCTACCAAGGCGGCCGGGCACGAGAATATCAAGAAGGTTGATGGCCTGTTAGAGGCTTGGACTAAGACCAAGACAGGACTGAACTTGAATCCAGGGAAGATGGGCTAAGGAGGGAATGCGAACTCAAGAATAACCTTACATCGTCTTGTCAGGCCGCAAAGATAAATGTTCACTTTTTGGGCTAAGTTCATAGTCGCGAGTTGACGAATCTCAACCTCCGTCAGAGCAATTAGACATCTGAATTAAAACCTCTTATTCGACTTTCTCATAGTCCTGTCCCAAACTTGGATAAAGTTCTATAAGGCGTGAATCTCAATCAGTCAACACGTACCTCGTATTGTTGAATAGGAATATGAGGTGCTATCGTAGTAGAGAACGTTGGAACTATGCGCGAAGGAGCTTACACGGTGAATCTGTTAGCTATTTGATGATCACGGTTTGTACGACCCCCGGCTCACGATGACTTCCAGACTCACTCAATCAGTGCCCAGGGCCCGCTATTACCAAGTATAAATCAATATTCTCACCAAGTCCTCTCGCCATGTGTGAGTGAAAGATCAGTGAAGTCATTTCAAAAATTGTAATAACTCCGAATCAACCTCCATCAGTAACGGTATGTCGTTGACTTATAAGTGTAGCTTGTTGCCACTGGAACTTGTATGTTTCATAGTCTCCGCTCGCAAGTCCATTCTCTGGGCTAAAGTGATAAAGCAGTCTAAGATAATCCAAACAAATGAGAAAAAAAGAGATTCATCTCCCTCACTACTTGTGCACATATGTAACGTTGAGGTCATGCCGGGCGGCATTCCCCACATTTGTTTTCACTTGAGGACTGATGCTCATGTTCCCGGAGGTTTGCATCCACTCTCTTTCTTTATTGTCGAAGAATCAGAAGATGTTCATCGCACAAAACCGCTGGTTGAGATGAAATAAGATGCGGCATAGCTTATGATGTCTGAAGGAAAGCGCAAAAATGTGAACTCAACGTCACAGTTGGACTGAATGCAGAAAAGGCTCCACCCCCACCATCCGGACATGCGACACCTTCGGCCTCGTGTGCCAAGCATTTCTTCGTCTTGTATGCCACTCTCGTATAGCCCCAAGCACGCTTCTCGTCCGGAGGGCGCGGCATGCGGATCTCTTTACATCCCAGCAATGATGTATGCGTGGAATACTAATTCCAGATTCAAAGACTCACGAAGCAGCACCATCGTCAATAGCTATTGGCAACATGGCGCAATATTTCAATCGACTTTCAAAGATCGTCGATCCTACCAAAGGCAAGAACAAAATGATTGCCATAGTTCACATAATCCCTACACAGCAGTTCGGAGATTGGATAAAGCGACCATGACAACTGCTGTTGGTGTTATTTCGATATCTTGCTCATTACATGTGTTCTTAGTTGCCGCATTTCCTGGTGCTGACAGTTCCGTTGATGCGGCCGTCTATCAAGACATGGCAGCTGTGTTGTTTTTTTGGCAGATGATGCCGACAGGCCTGCGGGCTCACGTTGGAGATCGGATCGTACCGGAATCAGAATGCCTGATCCAAGCTAAGGCGGAGTCGGGCAGCTTACAAACCACGTGTCTCATGAAGTCGCAGCTCGTCACTGGCTCACATCACCCTTCCCCGTTGGGCCGGCTGTTGGAGACAATGCTCATACGCTAGGGCTGAGGTCCGGACATTCTGCGAAAAAACCATGGTGCCCAGGGGTCTCCTCGTCAGCGAAAAGCATGGACATTGGTGTTGAGGAAACAAAGGCCGAGCGACGAAAAGCCGAGTTTCGAGTTGCTCAACTAAGTCCGACAGGTCCAAGTTGACTTGGCAAATCAGGGCAGGTGGGGCTGTTGCGATGGCGCAAGAGTTCTCAAAGGTGAGATGGCAGCTCTGAAGTGTTTGTAGACTCGTATTTGAGTCATCAGCGCAAAGCCTCTCTTGGCTATGGACAAGCCGTCGCACCTCAGAGGTGAGGACGTAATCTCGACGCGGCCTCGTGGCTGTGACAGGCTATAGCACTGAGCGTGCGAAAGAGCAGAAGAAACTGATACGGCTTCAGCGTCGATCGTTCAAAGCGATGTACTCGGGGTCCCGTCGATGTTTTCAACTTTCGATAAGGGAGCCCGCGGGCATTTCAATACGGCCGAAGCGCGCGCGTTCTTCGGGATAACGCCGAGTAAAAGGTTCTTCGTCTCATCTAGTCTTCGTTTCGTCCAGCGTTGTGGCCTGACTAAGCGGGACAGTGAGGCCTTTTGGCGCCCTGCCGACGCTTACTGCCGAACCATTGACCTGTACTGGACGGTGAAGGATGTCAAAGGCCTGTCACTTACACACTGACAAGCCATGACAAGCCGTCGCAAAGTCCAGTAGTGGAGTAGACAACCTTGAGAACTCTTGGGATGTCCGTTACAGAAAAGTCCGAAGGGAGGGTAGAAAAGAACTTGTCAACGGTGAATGGGGTGACCTGAAGGCGAGATGAAACCTGGAAAGCTACCGAATGGCGCCCCCTACCGGCTCCATGCGCCCACTCCGGCCCCACTGACATCTCAACTCGGAAACACAGACTTACGCCATCCCATGATCCTCGGTGGGGAGAACAGACGGCGACGATCCAATCGACATGATCTCCCGCTAGATCGTCACCCTCCCTGTGAGGCTCTGACTTCCCAAAGAGGTATCGTCTTAAAGAGCCTCAAACCATCACGGAACATCATCAGACAGCTTGGCAGCACGAGCCTCAACGATGCCCAGCATCGCCAGTTGGAAAAAAAAAGTCTGGTTGCGCAGGTCAACGTCTTGGAGTGTCTTGAACCTTCGCATTCTGCCCCCCACCTCCACTATCTCTCGGCACTTCATCATCATTAGTAAAGCCCCCTAAAGCCCCGGACAAGAGCTTCTCGTGTCTTGGCTTCGCGGGTATTCCGATGGCAAATATGTACTACAGCCGGTGCTAATCTAATTCAAAATTTAGACTTACTCGAACTCTAAGTTCTGTCTCCATTCCCGTTCCTTTCTCTTTCCTTCAGGTTCCCTTTAGTCAAAATTCCTCCTAGTGAGGTCTGGCCGTGATATCTATCGACACCGGCATTTCCAGTCATTTACGCATTTTAATTAATAGGGGAAAGTCACTGCTGAGCAGTGTTCGCTTCATTCATTTTAAGAATTTTACTTTCAATACTTCTCTTTCACCGCCCAGTATGAGAGTCTCTTCGGCTTGGGCCCTTGTGGCAGCCGCCACGGTCACTGCCATGCCTCAACCAGTCTCCAAGAGAGACCCTTTCCCGGCTGACGGTACTGTTGTGGGAGGTGTTCCCCATCGCCCATTCAGGAGTGAGTCTTCTACGCCTTTCAAAATTTGTTTTTCGCATTCTAATGACGGAACCACAGTCCGAAGACAAGCCGCCGCACCAGCGACCCCTCAAGGCAATCAACTAATCCCGGTGGTGGTTGGGGGAGCGCAGGATACATTCGTCCCGAACTTGATCATGGCTCAGGTCGGCGACGTCGTTCAGTTCCAGTTCAGCAATGGCAACCACACTGTGACGCAAAGTGCCGAAGGCGCCGCATGCCAACCTCTTCAAGCTCAGGTTCCGACGGCTATCCACAGCGGTCATGTGCCCTTCAAGGACGGACAGGCTATGGTTGGAACGTTCAACATGCCGATTACGAGTGCTGATCCAATGTTCCTATACTGCGCCACCGGACCTCATTGTCAAGAGGGACAGGTCCTGGTCATCAACCCGTACGTTGCAGAGACAGATTGGATATGTGAGTTTCTGCTAACATCAGTGAACAGCACCAATGCGAACCAAGTCGTCCAATACTCGAAGCTAGCTGCTGCCGCGAAAGCAAACGTCGACGGAACCACAGTGAGTGGCGGGGCCGTTGGACAGATTCCCCTCGCAAATGCCGCCTTTGTCCCAGCGCCGGCCCAGGGAGCTGGCGGTGGCGGTCCTCCGGGAGGCGGTGCTGGCGGTGCTCCCGCTGCAGCCCCGGCGGCTCCAGCTGCACCGGCTGCACCGGCAGCAACACCCGCGACACCGGCAAACCCGGCTCAGGATCCCGCGGCAGCACCTCCAGCCGAAGCGCCCGCTGCTCCTCCGGCCGAAGCTCCAGCAGCTCCCCCGGCTTGAATAGTGTGTGATTTGCGACCAAACTCAGGAAGTTTGGGCCCCGCGATAAGCAATCTTCACCTGGTTGAGCAAGCGTAGACAACTTTGAGCTGCGCGCTCGGAAGAACTAGTGCGGGTGTGCAGAAGTCGCATTTTGTCAATGGAGGGAGGAGTAATCCATGTGTTTGTAATATCAGTCTTGTACATGCTATTGCCGCCCGCGGCGGGGGTTTTGACGTTGATCGTTGTTGGTTCACAAACGTACCACGACAATCTCAGGATGGGCGTTGTGTTCTGGGGCCGAGGAGGAAACCAAATACCATACACGAATGAACGAAGCTAGATGCTTGAGGATTTCACTTATTTTCAAAGTTGCTTCAAGGTTAAGTATTTGATTACCATGGCATTCATTATGCCCCGTTTTCCTTCCTAGCCAAGTATCCAACCAAACAGCCCATCGCCAGAACCTTATCCCACAATCGGCCTTCCAATTTGTATTCATGGCTCCACGACAACCTTTAATCCACTGACCCCCTTGAACAGCACATCCACAGCCTTGTTCAGGCCATCCAATCCGCCATCAATCTTCTGAGACGGCAAGCCGACAATCGTGTTTGCAGCGATGGCCTGAGCAAAGTATGTCTCAAAGGACCACTTTAACAGACCGGCGTTTTTCTCTTCTGCAAGTGGTGCCGACCAAGACCCGAAACTAACGGTGACTTCCTTGGGAACACTCTCCGGATCAGTGGGAGGTAACAACGCATACACCTTTCCTCCGCCCTGAGCAGCCAGGACTGCGGTGGTGATAGCAAATGCCGGTTTCAGTGAGATGGAGTCCACGACATATTCGTAAGGCCCTTGAGCAACGAGTTCTTTGATAACAGCGTCTTGTGATTGAGTGTGGTCGACAACGTGAACGGCACCCAACTTGGCTACAAAGTCCTTGTGCTGTGGGGATGTGGTGGTGACAGCATCGTATCCAGACTGAGACACATATTGTGTCGCAAAGCTGCCGAAGCTAGATGTGCCGCCGTAAACCAAAATCTTCTTGCCCTTGGAGGGCACCTTCTTAGCCGGATCGGGCCTGTCTAGGCCTAAGTGCTCGTTGAATAAGCCAACGATGGTACTGAAGTTGCCTAGCAGACCGACGGGGGTGTGTAGGTCGACGCTGCTTGGAACCTTGATCGCAGTGACATCTCGCGACACTACTTGCTTTTGGAAGGCGCTGTACTTGTTACCGTTTGCACCACCCGTCTTGACGGCAGCTACTTTGTCGCCGACCTTGAAGCCGGTGACTTCGGAGCCGACGGCCGCCACGGTACCTCCATAAGATGAGCCGTGGATGGCCGGGTATGGGATGGGAAAGATGGCGAGTTTTGCGATTTTGGCGTCAATGGGGTTGAGGGCGACTAGCTCGTTCTTAATGAGGATTTCGTGGGGCCCAGGCTGCTCAGTGGTCACATCTTGCACAGTGAGCGGGGCTTTGGGTTCGAGTTGGACCGCGGCGGGGTGTGACATCGTGGAAATCGGACGATTGTGGATGCTCGTGATATTGGAAGTATGGCCAATAGCAGTGCTGTGAGTTGTAGGAGCTTGTTGATTTGGTACGGTAGTTTGTGAAAACCGGTAGTAAGATCTGATATGTTAATGAGACTGCTTTGCTCTTACTTGACGAGATGTCTGATGGCCTTAAGTATCTCTGCTTCGACTCGGATTTAGACTATCGGGGAGATTGATCGTGCACCTAAACGCTATTATTCCGAGCGATTGCTAAGCGCACACAGCAGTCGAACGCAATTGAAGGCGCCATCTGCGACATTCTTCACGATGAATCTTGATTGCTAAGCTTGAAAGGGTAAATCCCCACCACCGGGACACCCGGAGGTGGCGTAGCCTTTCGGTGTCACCAAAGCGGAAACAAATACCGAGTGTAGATTTAGATGCCGCCTACCTACTTACCAACTTATATGCACAATGAAGAGATGGATTACGTGCTGCAGTAACATTTCGTGTTTGTCACACATCATTGAGTGCCTGTTGGCGCGCGCATAGACCCCGCATTGAGTGACAGCTTTGGGCTCTCATTTCGCGCAAGACTGAGTTCGTCCTTACAGTGTAAGCTCAACTCGAATGCACCACAAACCGCCCATTCGACGAATGCCGTTGGAACGATAGCGAACACTTCGGCCAAAATCACGTCATCCGTAACTCAGGTTTCTAAGTGCGATATCATGAGATTGGTCTGAAAATCGGACTGCGAGGCTAAACTTTATTCAAATCGCATATGGCCCATTTGGTGATATGAACCAAAAGTTTTCCTACTCAAACGTGACTGCTATCAACAGTTGCGTAGGCGGATTGCTTGCGTGAAAGCTTTGAAATGTTTCTGGTCCTACCTTAAATATGGAAGGTCGAACAAGTCAGAATTAGACAAGAGGGATTAGACAAGATCAGTGCTTGGGATAAAGATGACTGTTGCACGTGTACACTGTCATGACTTGTAATTTCCACATCTCAATTGGTAGAGATGGTTGATGCTAAAGCCAAATACAACGCGAC